ATGTTGGCACGCGCGGGGGAGACCGCGGTCGAAGTGCACCTCATCGGACCCGCCGCCAACCTTGAACATTGGGGGGAGGGAGGCGTCGACGGATGAATGTGGCATGTGTTCGCTAATTTGTTCCGAAGCCTGTATGCACTCGTGCAAACTGCTACCTCCAGCGAGTGCATCACTACTAATACGAGGGGGGGAAGCGAGGGGGAGGAGGCCTCCTCCGAAGGCCGCGGGACTTCTCAGAGGCACCACGGCCTTCTGAGAAGTGAATGCTGTCTTGGGGGAGGGATCCGACAACTTCTCAGAAGGCCGGGGGATCTCCGAGCCTTCTGAGAAGGCCCGCCCCTTCTCACTCCACCCCGGGCTCGTCGCCGATCACTGGTTCGGGCAGAGCCTCCGCAGACGAGCGGTCGCATACCATCGCCGTGCGGTACCGCCCGCAGGGGACCGCTCGCGAGCCCTGCCCCTGCCCCCCACGACTTCTGAGGGGGGGAGAGGGGGGAGGTCCACGTCGCTCGGGAGCTCCCGAATTCAGTGAGCCCCCCCCCCCTCCCCCTCAGAAATATCGTGGGGGGTTAGGGGCAGGGCTCGCAGAATGCCCCCCGCAGCCCCGAAGGGCGCACGTCTGGCGGCCGCCCCGCCGCAACACTAGAGGAAAGAGAACTATGCACATACACCGATTCTGGCCAGGACCATCCTGAGCCCAGGATCGGTGCATACGCCCTCTTTCCTTGGCCAGGAAGGTATATGCACCGATCCTGGGTCAAGGATGGGCGTTGTCAGGATCGGTGCATGTGCATAGTTCCCTTCGCCCGAAACACGCGCGCACGCACGCCGGGCGGCCGCGGCCCCCCGCGCGCAGCCTCTCGGGCCAGAGGCGGCGCCCGTGCGCGCGCGGACGGGCCCGCCGACGCGCTGCGCCGGGCAGCGCGCGGCCCGCCGCCGCGGTGCTGGGCGCAGGTCGCACGACACCTGCTCTGCAAGTCGGGCGCGTCCCCCCACAGGGGGAATTTTCGACGAACAAAAAAAAATACCCCCAAAAATGCTCCAGAAGGGTCAAAAAATACCACAACAAAAATCCCCAGACTATTTTTGTTGGACTACTTTTGCATATTCCCCCTGCAGAGGGACGGGCCCGACTGAACACTTGCTGTTTTCAACCCGCGCCGCCTCGGGCACGGCACTGACCCGGAGCGGGTCCCCCAAAAAAGCTCAGCAGCTCCCTGCCGTGCTGCCGCCCTGGCACGGCGGTGAAACTCCGCGCGGGCGGCTGGATCCGTTGACCGTTCGAGCAGCAAGCGCACCAAGCCACGGTGCGCTGGAGAGAGACCGCCTTCCGACTGCTACAACGGCTGCTGGAACAGATCCGTGAGGGGACAACTTGCAGGTGACAACCAACTGCCCTCTGTCCGCGAAACTCTAGGAACTGAGCATTGTCGCTTTGGGGTCTGAGCCTAAAGCGAACTACGCAGCCCGCTGTATCCACCTGTCTGGTGGTAAGAGGCGGACGATGAGGAGCTACCTACAGGGGAGACTATGGAGGAGGAGGAGGAGGAGGAGGAGGAGGAGGAGGAGGAGGAGGACAGGGGAAGGGGAAGCGTAGGAGAACGACAGGGAGGAAGGGGGGCCGACCTAGAGATGAGGCTTTGGAGAAAGCTGACTACCAGCTGGCTGCGCACTCCGATCTACCAACCAGCAATTGGCGGTAAGCGAGGGGGGGAAGTGAGAAGGAGAAGGACCTCTCAGAAGGCTGCAGGGCTTCTCAGAAACCGTCGCGCCTGCTGAGAAGTTTGTTGTCTTCGGGAAGGCTTGGACAACTTCTCGGAAGGCCGGGAGACTTCCGAACCCTCTGAGACGGTCTTCTCCTTTTCACTTCCCCCCCTCGCTGGCCGCCGAAACAAAAAAGCAGCGGGCGAGAGGACGTTCCCCAGGCCGTCCACCGCGACGGCGCGGACCTCAACCTGGCATCGCCGGAGAGGGGACAACTTATGGGCAACAGCGCCGGAACGAGGCATCAGGAATACGGTGGCATCCGTGCATCAAAAAGTAAGTACAGGCAAACATCGGGGGTTGCTAGAGGTGCCCCTGGCCTCAGGTGCCCCCAGCTTTTCGTTCGACATGGAAGCCCCTGGGTCCTCGGGGCCTCGTGAAGGGTGCTCTGGAGGCCGTTCAGACCTCCTCGGGAGTCCTGGGGGCACCTTGGGCCAGGGGCACTTCTAGCAACACCCGAAAAAAAGGCAGCCACCAGATCAGGGAAACCGAAGAGGAATAGGCCGACGACATCCGACACCAGAGACGTCGTCGGAAGCCAGTTGGACCCGAATGGTGAGCGTCGGATCCGAAGGGTCCGCCGATGATCGTCTGCATCGGCCATGGCCGGCACAGGTCCACAAAAGCAAGGTCCCCACCAAGAAAATACGACATGTAAGATGTGGCCATGACCTGTCTGGCAGACTGGTCAATAACGCGCGGGTATTATGTGATGTGTGCTGCGTTGAAGTGGTACTCATGACGAATGGCATTCAACTATAAAGATCATGGCGCTTGATCGAAACTGTACTGAGCAAACTCACATCGCGGCCTTACGCGGTCGTTTGCGAGAGTCCCTTGCTCGTCGCGCTGCGTGGAACTGCATCGCGTACGCTCGACCTTGAACGGAAATAGCTCACGTGAACGACCAAGCAAGTGGACAGCTTGTGTCACGTAACTCACGCCACATGGCCCCTGATGAAAGCACGACACGGAAGAAGGTTGACACCGGTATGAGTGTGGGAGTACGCTGCTCTTGATTACCAAATAGCCTCCAATATAATGTTCCCAAACTCGTTCGTGGCATGTAGAATGAAGCATCGCACTATCCATGGTGGTCTGCGTTAAGTTGGCAGCATCCACCCGACTGTTCAAGATAAGACATCAACACATGAACCGATTGAATTCACGTCTCGACTACGCGTTAGTGTATTTTCTTGTGGTGGTAACACAAGAGTATGAATCGCGTGATGTGTACAGGTATGGGTAGGACGATGTGTACAATATTCTAGACATGTCCTCGTGGACAAAGTACAGCCTGCAAAGAAATGCGCGTGCCACAAGCGGAACTGCAAGCACCGTTCCCCGCGTATGCGCTATGCGAAGTATTTCGCACGAGCCATAAACCATGTCAGCCACGCCATCTACCCCCGCTTCCCCGCGGCTCGTCCTCCTCAGTGTCTGCCCACATTCATAACTGGCAATATGCGGAGATTGCGAAACAGTCCAGACGTGCTAGTGCGAGATGTGCCCCTGACAGCGAAGAGATGGAAAATGAAGCATTGCCAGGACGGAGGGGCGTTCTCTGCGACGGTCTGCATCGGACTCACCTCCCCAACTCCGCGCGCGACAAAGCTGCAACTCGTACTATCTTGTGCGCGAATGTGAAGTCCTCTCTGGCCGACGCCCAGCCCTCAACCCAAGCCCACGGGAGCCAGAAAGATTTACCGATACCGCCACTGTCTGGACCTCTCCCAACATTCATTGTAATCGGGATTTCGAGGCGAGTCTGGCCGTAGCGACAGGCCCTCTCAAGAGGCCCAAAGGTCAAAATGACGGGAACGGGCAGCGGATCGATATGCTCTGTTCCGCCGAACCCCCAACTGACATTCTCGCCAACCCCTGGATCGCGTAGCCCCGGGCACCTTGAACAAACGCACTCGCCCTGGGCCAGCCTGCACCACTCCTGGGGGCAAGTTCTGGGACGCCTTCGTGGAAAGGATGACGACGGATTGAGCCCGATGACTGGGCTGCTGGCCTGCCTTCAACCTGATGGGCCCCAGATAAAACTAGAATTAGGTCGGGCATGTCCTCCTGCAGGCGGATTCTGGAAGGACAAATGAACAATAGTCAAAAAGTAACATCGAATAGTCCAAACATCGTCCCCAAACTGTAGAGGGACGTGCCCGACTTAAACCTAGAATCAGCCAGGTTAAGCGAGGCTCGGCCAAATCAGGTTGACGGACGACACCTATGCTTGTTCATTCGGTAGGCAGGTTCCGTACTACTCCAACATGCTTCCTCCATCGCTCTTTCTTCGGAAAATGTGTTTGCCCTACCTCACTCAACGAGCTCTGCACGCAAACGTCTGAAAATGCATAGATCCCGTCAGGATTGATCGAGCTTCAATGACAAATTAAGATGTCAGTGGGGATCGATCGATTCTGGCGGATGATGGTCTGAAGATCTATTAAGACTACTCCGTCACTGATACAGCCAGACAGCTTGCGCAATGCCTTGCTAAACGATGGCAGGATTGACAGCTGTACATGCAGCAAGCGCGCTCACATCATTGCACATCGGGTAGCGGCCTCTGTGTTTTGGCACCGCGGACAACCGTCGGCGGTTGCTCTTCCTTAGGCTCTAGACCCCTTTGCCCGCCGAAAACTGCAACCGACACAGCAAACTCAACGGGCTTAACATTGCAACAAACATAGACTCGCCAGTCGTCCGCCCACCTAAAATTCACAGCGAGGTATCCACACCCAACAGCCTCGAACTGCCACCCACATGTACTCACCCACCCACCTACACTGTCACCCAAACGTCGTCGCCCACCCGTCCCAAAATTGCAACCAAGATGGCCTCGCCAACCCGACTCAAACTGAAAACCGAATCCGCCGTCCTCCGCTTGCCTGGGGTGCGAAGGCGTGTGAAATGATCGGCTGTCCCCCTCCCCCTTTCCCCCTCCCCCAGGGTCCAACATCTTGTTAAAGGAGGGGGGGGGGATCTGGGCTCCCTGGCGCACCCCTGGAGACTCTGAACCTTCCAAGTCTGCCTTCTGTGGCCTCAAAGACGTTCCAAGACGGCCTGGACTTCCGAACGAATGGCACAAGATGCCGACGATGGCTCCAAGACGCCCCAAGACGCCTTCGAAACGCCCCGAGAGGCCCAAGAGCCTTCCCAAGAGGGCCTCGAGAAGCACAAATCAATGAGTTCCCTTAGATGTGTATTGTTTCTGCGGTGATCGTCTTCACGAACATCCGACACTCCAAGACGGCCCAAGGGGCCCCATACATCGCCTCAAAACTGCCCAAAAGCCAAGAGGGTTTCCAAAATGGACCAAATATGGACCCAAGACGGCCAAAGATCGCCCCAAGAAGGCCCAGAGAGAGGCCAAGAGGGAGAACACGAATCAAAAATCCTATTTTTCCACCCCAAGAGGCCCCCCCGAAGGCCCCAAGCAGCCCCCAAGCGGCCCAAAAGAGGCTCCCAGTAAGTCCCAAGAGGCCTAAAAGACACCCCAAAACAGCCTCCAAGAGGCTCCACCAAGCCCCCCAAATAGCTCCCAAGACGCCCATGACTCCAAAAAAAAACCCAAAACCCCACAACGCCTCAACAGTGGACTCCCCGCCTCTTCAGGGGGTTGGAAGAATGACGCAAACCTCTTGAATACCCTCCCCCATCCGTCACAACATTGCCACCGACGAATCCCAACGAACCCGGCAGCAACTGCAACCGAATTATCCACAGTCTCCCGCCTAAAACTGGAACCTTGACGTATCCATCCAAGCGCCCGAGAACTGCAACCCCACAAGATCCTCACATGCCGCGGAGATCACTGTCATCTGACTGCCCCGGCGAGTTTGGCCAATCAATCCGCAATATCCTGTTCCTCTTCGAACATATCCGGCACGCGCATGCAAATCATGTGCACCGGCTCCCCCCGTGGCGACCGTGAGGGCATCGCTGCTTCTGTGCAGGGTGTAGCTCACCAACTTGTTCAGGCTGGGGTCTGCGACGAAGAGCTTCCCCCTTCGGCAGAGAATTCAATCGACGGCGTCGGCTGCGTCGCATTGATGACAGCTTTGGATCATACATCATCCTCGGTGCCTGAGGCGTCGTCACCTCTATCTCCGCCCATGTAGCGTTCCGCCTGCACACAACCTCATTGATTCGCTGCTAGGGAACGAACAATGACATAAAACTCGGAGATCCGTACGGATTTCTCGGATCTGCGCCAGACCCCCCTCACCGGCGCGCGGAGCGCGCCAGGGGCGGCGCCGGAGGCGCCGCCAAGGGGGGCCCAGCGCCGATCCGAGAAATCCGCGCGGACCTCCGAGTCTACGACGACCCTATCTTCTTCCACGACGACCCTGGCTCGCGCTTCTGACTTCTCCGCGGTTCGAAGATCTTCATTGTTCAAGCACGGCGGCGAACTGCCGCCTTGCAAGGACACGCTGGCCGAGCTCACGTGTGTGCAGGCTCGCTCGCTCTCGTGAGCAGGCACACGCGCGACACTGGAGATACAGTCGGGGCGTTGGCCGAATGAACCCCAAATCAGGAGCGAGGTTCCTTCTTCACAAAAGCTAAGCTTCGATGTCCCATGGAAAACCTTCGGGAAACCTGAGGCAAGTTGCACAACAATCAGGGAGCACCGAGCCCGTCCCCAACGAAGACGGTTCCTTCTTCAGCGCTCCGACTGTAGCCCTAGACCAGAGACCACCTCACATGCGCTCGAATGTTCGACAATCGTTCCAAAACAAACTCTTAGTTTAACTCTCAGGACCAAAATGCCGGCTACCCGTGAACTTCGAAGCTCAATTTGACAATGCCCGGGGTAGACGTCTCCGCTCAACGGCTACGTATACCTTAGTCGGACAGCACACTACAGGTATATGCGTGGCGGTCCCCGGTCTGCCCGATATCACTGCTGCCGTGCTTCGCGGTGAATGCAGCCTCGTATCTTGTGCAAGGCAATCAGACGATCCTAGACAAAGCCGTTCAGGTCAAGAAAATCATGCAAGCGCATATCGCAGACGACTCCGTGATGAGAAGTAAGCTGTCGCGCCCGCTCAGCCACGCTGCGCTGAGCAGCTGGCAAGAGCATATCAACAAGCTGCCTGTACGAGTCCACTGCTATGCCCTGCGGGTACTTGAGGTTGGTGTCTATCAGCGTCCTCATTGCCTGCCCGAAGGGCCACTTCACATGTATACATCTAGGAAGGAACGTCATCCACCGCCGCTTTACTGTAGAATATTCCCCCCCCTCTTCCTCCGGAGCCCGGGGTTCCCCCCCTCCCCTCTTCGAAAATTCTCCTTCTGCTGGACCCCCCTCCTCTTCCCCCCCCTTCCCCCGGCAACCCCTCCCTTAACCCCTCCCCCCCCCCTCCAGAAACCCAGGGGGGTCACTACCTGTTCGACCCCCCCCCTCCAGAAAACCACAGGGTGGTCACGACCAGTTCGAACCCCTCCCCCCTCACCGCCGGCAAACGACTCCCAGGTCCCCACCACCGTCCGCACCACATCCCCCACCGTTGTCCCCAGCACCTCTGTCCCCACCACCACTGCCCCCACAGTTCCCACCACTGTCCCCACTGTCCCCACTTTCCCCACCACCAATGTCCCACTGTCCCCACTGTTGTCCCACTGTCCACTGTCCCCGCCGCTGTCCCACTGAGCTGTCCCATTGTCCCACCACTGTCCCCACCAGTAGCCCCACCACTGTCGCACTGTCCCCACTGTCCCCACCACTGTTCCCACCACGGTCCCCCTCTCCCCACTTTCCCCACGGTCCCCACCAATGTCCCACTGTCCCCGCTGTCCCCGCTGTCCCACTGTCCTACTGTCCCCGCCGCTGTCCCACTGAGCTGTCCCATTGTTCCCACCACTGTCCCCAATGTCCCCACCAATGTCCCCACTGTACCCCTGTCCCATTGTCCCACCACCGTCCTTACCACCGCCCTCACCACTGTCCCCACCACCACCATCCCCACCACTGTCCCACTGTCCCACTGTCCCCACCGTCCCCACCACTGTCCCACTGTCCCCACACCACTGCCCCCACCACCACCGTCCCCACCACTGTCCCACTGTCCCCACTTCTGTTCCAGTGTCCCCACTGTTCCCCCCATCGTCCCCGCTGTCCCCACCAGTGCCCCCACCAGTGTTTCACTGTCCCCACTGTCCCCGCCATTGTCCCACCACGGTCCAACTCTCCCCGGTGTCCCCACTGTCCCCACCACCGTCCCATTGTCCCCACTGTTCCCACCGCCGCTGTCCCACTGTGCTGTCGCACTGTCCCCAAGGTCCCCACCACTGTCCCCTTGTCCCCACTGTCCCCACCACTCTCCCCACTGTACCACTGTCCCACAACCGTCCTCACCACCGCCTTCACCACTGTCCCCACCACTGCCGTCCCCACCAATGCTCCACTGTCCCCACCACTGTCCCGCTGTCCCCTCGCCGCTGTCCCCACCACCACCGTCCCCACCATTGCCCCACTGTCCCCACCATTGTCCCATTGTCCCCACACCACTGTCCCCACCACCACCACCGTCCCCACCACTGTCCCACTGTCCCCACTTCTGTTCCAGTGTCCCACCAGTTCCCCCCACTGTCCAAAGGAGCGGAGGCGTTTGCCCGCGGAGAGGGGGGGGGGGAGGGGGGGTTCGAACCCGTAGTGACCCCCCCAAATTTTCGAAGGGGGGGGGACGGGTTGGGAACCCCCAGTTACCCCCCCCCGGTTTTCCGCCAGCAGCGGTAGAACACGCTCTGTCACAGATAAATATGCAGAAGTACACACAAAGAAAAATACAATGCTGATGCACCAGACGCGCCATGCACAGGCGATGCCCATATTGGCAATTGTTGGGGGCTGACTGCTCGGGCCGGTCCCAGCTTCGGTCTGCCTCGCGCTTCCCTCGCTGCTTGACGCATGCTCGCCCGCTGCCCCCCTCACGACGGCCCACCCAGGATGCGTTTCTGGATGAGCTGGCGGAGAGAAGCGACGCGTCAACAAGTGTGCTCAGGATCCACGACAGCACCTCACTCCAACACCAAGGACTGGGGCACGGTCGAGTCTGATCGGAGAGGGCACGCGGAAAGGGCGTAAAAACCTCCTAGGGGCACGCTCCCCCAGGAATGCAAAGGTCAAATAGAGCGCGAACGCACAATACACGAGGCTATTATTGATGCGGACGGATCGGCATACTAAAGTTCATACCGAAGCTCTTGGGGGCGCATGTTCTACTTCGGCAAGCTTCCGCCAGCGGAGGCAACCTTGTTTTAGTTCCACAACCTTCCGCTGGCCCCCCGCCGCCTTCAGCCGAGAAAGCGATGGCTGAGAGGGCAGGGAAAAAAAAAACAAATACTTGAACTTGGAATTAACAATAAAAACTGAGAAAACTGAGAAATACTTGAACAAACATGAATACTGAGAAAACGCGCACTTTGTCCACTGAACTTGGAATCGCGCTAGTGCCAGATCGAACCGTCCCGGTTCACCGAGCCGCACGGGAAGAGTGCTGGGGAGAGAAAAGGCAAGCATTAAATGGCGCTTGTCCCCCATACTCCTTCTCCTCCTCCTCCTCTTCCTCCTCCTCCTCTTTAAAAAGGCAAGCATTAAAAGGCAAGCATTAAAAGGCAAGCAGTAAGGGGAGTGTCGACGGAACAAAAATGCTCCCAAGGGGTCAAACAATCATCAAACAAATCCCCGTATTATTTTCGAGATATTTTTGAAATACTCCTCCGGTAGAGGGACGGGCCCGACTCAAGGCAAGCGTCGCTCGAGAGGCCCGCCGACCAGGCCCGCCCGCGGGAGCCCAGCAGCCCGCGACGAGAGCGCCGGCACCCTAGAGGCCTCCTAGATGGGGTCGGAGTAGATGGGGTCGGAGGATCGCGCCGCGTCGCCGATACATCGGCAATGCATCGGCGATGCATCGGGGATGCAATGGCGATGCATCGGCGACGTTGGCGATGCATCGTCGACGCCGGCGCGGAGAAAATCGGGCTCCGCATCGAGCCGCATCGGCGATGCATCGGCGGTGTGGCGCGATCCTCCGACCCCATCTACTCCGACCCCATCTGGGAGGCTTAGACACCCGGAGCCTTCCTGCAAAAAAAAACCGTGGACGGCCGGGCCGCGGCAGGCCGGGGGCGGCCGGGGCCGAGGGCTCATGGAGACTCTCGGCCTCCCGGCCCGGGCCAGACCTGCCAAAGCAGGCCGCAAGTGAGGGGGCCCAGGCGAGCGCGCGTCGAAAGGAGCCCCCCCCCCCCAAGAGAGAAGCCGGGAGTGGCACGGCGCCCGCACGGCCGCGGCCCCGCCGCGGGGCCCTCCGAAGCGAGAGGGGGCCCCGGGGACAGCGGCCTCGCGGAGGCAGGCAAGCACAGGTGCTCTCAGGGGGCTCCGCTCCTCTGGGCAGCTTGGCGCCGGTGGTGTCGGCTTCCCGTGATCCCGGAGTCGGGAAGCCAGCAGCCGGCACCAAAGCGCTGCTGGAAGAGAAGTTGGGGAGGAGGAGGAGGAGGAGGAGGAGGGGGAGGAGGAGAAGGAGGAGGAGGAGGAGGAGTAGGAGGAGGAGGAGGAGGAGGAGGAGGACCCCCTCCCCCTCCTACTTATGGTGGTGGTGATGGAAAACAAGCCCATCACCGTTGGCGCCGCTTTGACGAGCGGGGCCCTTCAGAGCCCCCGAGGGCCCTCTATAGAGCCCGAGGGCCTGCCTAAGGGCCGCCGAGCGTCGCAGGCTCCAATTGGAGCCCGAAGTCCGAATAGTCAGACTCGAAGGGCTCGCAGGGCTGAGCGAAAGCGACTGGAACATGCCTCCTCCTCCTCCTCCTCCTCCCTCTCCTTTCCTCCTCCTCCTCCTCCTCCTCCTCCTCCTCCTCCTCTCCTCCTCCTCCTCCCCGTCCTCCAACTCCTCCTCCTCCTCCTCCTCCTCCTCCTCCTCCTCCTCCGCCTGGAACATGTCCCTGTCCCTAAGCTGGGCATCGCCTCGTCACGATGCCAATCTTAGGGATTCAGCCCCTTATAGTTTTCCAGGGCGCACCCCTGAGATGGTCATCGCCTTTGAGCGTGTCAATCTTGGGGCTTGGGATAAGTTCGAGGCTGGCGAATGTCGAATGAACCCATGCAGGTTTCCTGTCGACTTGTCTGGGAGGGTGAAGGGGAACTGGGACACACAAATAAATACACACAAATAAAAATATCCTCCATATTTTCCATATGTTCAGTGTTTTTGTCTTCCCCCCCACTTCCCATATTTTCCCATATTTTCTGGGGAATCGCCGATTAAGTGTGTCTGTGTGTTTTTCCCCTCCTGAGAGGGGGGGGGCCGTCACTCGGAGCGCTACCTGAGGAACGCGGGGGGCGCCTCTGGCCTCGGCGAGCCTCGGCCACTGCTAGGTTTGAGTCGGGTCTGTCCTCCTACAGGGGGAATTTGGAAGAAAAATCATTACTCCAGATTTCGTAATAGAGGGGGGTCTCATTTCGGGGGGGGTCTCTTCCAAGCTATCTTGGGGGGCCTGGGGGGGTCTGGGGACGACGTTTTGGAGGGTTCTCCCACAGGGGGGGGTCTGAAATGGCTTGTCTTGGAGGGTCCAGACCCCCTCCCTTTTATTACGAAATCTGGAGTATCCAGGCGAAGGACCCACCCATATGAAGTTGTGGGTGCCGCAATTGTGAATATCTTCTTCGGTGAAGCTCCCTATATGGGGCCACGAAGCGCTGCGCTGGGCGGGGGGGGGGAACGCATGCGGGCGGTAGCACTGGGGCCGTCGGTGAAGCTCCCTATGAGGCCACGCAGCGCGGCACTGGGTGAGTGAAAATACCAAATTAGGCGTGTGGGGGACGCACGCGGGCGGTCCCACTGGGGGGTTCGGTGGAACTCCCTATGGGGCCACGAAGCGCTGCACTGGGTGTGTGAACATGCCGAATCTAGTGTGGGGGACGCATGCGGGCGGTCCCACTGGGGGGTTCGGTGGGGCTCCCTATGGGGCCACGAAACGCGGTATTGGGTGGGTGAAAATGCCAAATTTGGTGTGGGGGACGCACGCGGGCGGTCCCAGTGGAGGGTTCGGTGGAGCTCCCTATGGGGCCACGGAGCGCTGTACTGGGTGGGTGGCAATGCCAAATCGGGCGCGGTGGACGCATGCGGACGGTCCCACTGGGGGTTTCGGTGGGGCCCCGTTATG